CATGACGTTTACATAACGTGGGCAATGATATAGTTCCTAAACAATTAACTAAGCAATCTAAAAGGTTAATGTCGAATCTCCCATCTCGGCATATGCAATATATACTTGTCCCATAATAAAGAAACGTTTTTCAGACGATAGCGGCTGACGTTTTGCAACATGACGTCATTTCGATATGATACATTACGCCGTTAAATTAACATTATGGTCAGTGGAAGAATATCTAAAGCCAAAACAGTTGGCATTTAATATTGCCGCACGCAAATATATAATCTTTACACAAAGTTATTTTCAAGCTTTTCAAAGCGTTTTATTTTTTACGTATATCCTCTGTAAACGTTACTTTTCGCTACTCTTTCGAAATGTGTTCTTGAACAATTTGTACGTTATCTACAAAATCTGTGATATTCCTCATTCGTATTCGCAACGTAATCGTCATTTTTAATCAGTTCACGGTAAGAGGTAAGAGCAAAAACAAAAGAGTAAATATATATGAACATGTAAGTATGTTGGATAGAAAACAAAAATTAAATGTGAGCAAAGGACCTGTGCTCAAGAACCTCGACATAGCCTCGGTTAAGACCCACATTCTACACCCGAGGGTAGAATGTCCATACACCACATACCCTCGTGTGATATACCCTGGTGCAATTTAGTATTAGGTGTTAGTGCTAAAATTAACGTGGAACATACTAAGTATGTAGGTTTATTACCGGCAAAGTACTTTTCAATACTCCACTTTGTTCACCACATATAACATTTGACCAAAGTATGTTTTGTTTTCAATTATGATTTGAAACAACTGTTAATATTAACATCTCATCGACTCTCTTGGACGGGAATCATCATAAAAGTGGAGAAATATGTACAAAATTGTAGGAAACAAATTGATCAAATTTCCAAGATGTTTCAAATAATTTGCCAACTATGAAGTTGTTTTACACCAGAAATGCTCCTAAATCTTCAAACACTTTACTACCATCTTGTATTCAACACGAAGAAGAAATTAGATAATGGAAAGAAAGGGGCCCCACTGTTTAATGGTTAATGAATACCTTTTGTGTACACGTGTATAAATACTGTCTACATTTGTATAAATACTGTCTAACAAAAGCAGTAAAGATCGTCATTAAATCGTTCCATGTCTCTATAACAACTACAACAATACATAATACTCAGGGAGAGTTGTCGGTTATGAGTGATGACGTCACACTTCTGTCGATATGTCAGCCATGTGGCTGTCGTTTGTGAGAAGATTATGTATGTTTTACGGTGTTAAATTCCATATCAGAAATCTCAGTAGTTGGCATGAGTTGACAAGTTTGCACAAAATTGGGCTTTGCAATTAAATTACACGAATTGTGATGTTTATCTGTCTACCACGACAGAATGAACGTCTCTGGATGAATTCATGTTTTATAAATGGAATAAGCGAAATAAGGCGTCAGCAATCATAACATCGTCGTCTCTTAAAATTATCCTATTTACGCCTAAGCTTAATTGATTGATTCCCTTTCAAACTGCACGTTAAATGATTTACCAGACATGATAACAACCTGGAGTGTAATTACAATTCTACGATTTACCGGATTAAACGTCTGCAATCCTATTACATTACCCTATCCTATTACGTTGACCATATACCTGTACAACTGAGAGAGAGAGAAAGTTATAGCTGACCATACTGACAACAAATATGCTTCGCATGTTGTATTATACATTGTATGTTAAATCATTTTTATGGCGGTAGTGAGCGTTCAAACATGATAAATCTACTTTGAACAGTGTAATAACTTTCAATTTGTCTTAAAACTATTCGACACAGGTGAAATGAAAATACCATGCTGCTTTTCATGCAAACTCAAAACTCAAACTCAAACTCATAAAACACCAAGCTTACGTAGCACCCTGAGGTGTTTACACCGTGAAGTTTCGACCTAGTGTTAACATGCAGAGTGATCATGCATCTCGTGCAGTAGATATGCATCACCTAACTGGTTTAGGTTGCTATTCTACGAGATAATAAAAACAAATAAAAGCAACAAGCGGATATTACACCTGTCTACATTGACGACTACAGAGAAAGTAATGAAGCAAGATACACAATGGCGAACGTCACATGTATTGTTGGAACCGAAAATCGCATGTACATTGAATGTAGTGTTGGAAACCTCCAGTTCTGTAGTTTCATAACTATACAGGGAGTAACAACTGCAGAAAACAAACTTGATTGAACATGTATGCAATAACATTAATTCGATCAACTACTTAGTGTACTGGGTGATCCTCACCTAGTGCAAGTATGTGTTGGACATGGCTTGATTTCTCATTGGATGCAGCTCAATATCTCCTTCTATATATCATAGTCATACTATGTATAGTACTCCATAGCCACACCTGAATAAAGCAGCTTTGCCAGGTGAGTAAACCATTCCATTAAAACCATATATATATATTCATATTTGTTAACATATGTATAATTTGTGGTTTACATTATCCCATGACTTTTAAAAATACCTGAAACCAGCGTCCATTAATTAAAGATTAGGAGGCATACTTGCTTAATCAGTTCCTGTTTTCAATCCGATTTGCATTGTATAAATTTACCGTTATCAGTGTGACGTCATACAGGAGATAACTCCATGTACAGAAACATATACACATGTATCTCGCAACGAGAATGTCCTTATTATTGCCTAAAATATTCAGGGTCGTATCTAATATCCTGTCATATGCATGTAAATGCAATTGAGGGCGTTCACGATTCAAAGTCAAATTCATTCGTTCGTGTGGCTGTAAAGCTCAACCGAGTGCAACATCACACACATTAAGTAAACATGGTTTGTGGGACACTGCGTATAGTTCGGTGAAGAATGGACAAGGATTTACATTTAGGATATTCCTAAATTGTTATACTGTAGCAACGTATGCATATTCACCTTACATATTTAATTCTTCGACATTTGTTGTATATGCACTTAAAAGCTGCATTAATTCAAATACTGACTTTTTTCAATAATACTTTAGTATACATACACAATTGTTTTCATAAGTAGGTTATACATATTGGCAAGTTTACACATACATTAAGATCATATCAATTAAACCCATACCATGTCGACTAAATTGTAATGATGATTTGATTTATAACTAAATTGGAAATTATTGACGTCATGTTATTGATGTTATTAATGATTTATTTATAAGGCAACATTTATTCACATATCAAAGGTACTTACAGTGAGTGGTCCTATATATAACTTTATGTTCCAGACTGTTTTGTGATCACTTTATTCCGAGTACGATCACGAACATAAAATGAAGACAAATACATTGCATATCGTTGTTTACCATAAAGCATATCAAGCATGGAATCGGCACCATAGCTTAACAATGTATTACAATTCATTTTTTGCTAAATAAAATACGTCAAAGACCCTTTCATTATGCAATTTACATATTTAACATACAAATAGATCAGTTGAATTAAGAGTTGCATATATCTGAAAACATCAATAAAAAAAGCTCAAGTTTGTTTTAATTTCGTTAATAAACTTTTCTACACATTAACCCACGTACATTTTGTATGAACGCTCCCTTAACGTAAAGCCATATATCACATTGGCGTTAATTAGTTGCCTGTTCATGAAAGGAATGAGAAATATCGAAACAGTCTGAATATATACAGTGTACAACAAAGTGTGTGTATATATCACACCACGTGATGTTTATTCTACTCATATCTTCGCAAATGTCTTCAAATATCAAGGTCGCTCTCAACCCTGGTACTTTTAACCATTCTACATCCTTTTTCTCCATAGCAACACTGTCAGTTATTGATATTACAGTACTAGTTTTATAATCAACTTAACGTATCTGCAGGGATTCGACCACAGTTTCGTAAGAATGTTGTAAAATTAACTTTACTTAAAAAACTACAGCACCAAAAAATGCAACAATAGTGTTGTCATGTATATACTGGCAACCACGACCAAGTTATACACATTATGTAATAGATTGTCTTCTCGTAACATTCACTTTATGACGCTCCACATTAAGACTTGTTCAGAATGATCAACAGTGATGTTTAAGGCGTGTTAGACTGCACTGAGTATTGTACATCATTCCGGACAAAAATTCATCCGGTACGTACCGACTATTGGACGTAATCGCGTCTTGAAAGATAAATATGGAATAATCACAGTTGAAAGTGTTGTTCTGAAGCACGCAATCATTAACACCTCACCAATACAGGTACTTGTTATGATAACATGCTGTCGTGAATGTACATTACATATGCTAACTAACTTACCTGTAATTCCGAATACAGAAGCGCACGGACACTTAATTAGTGCCAAAAAAATGAACAGTACACTCAGCTAGTAGGCATTACGAGGTCGTTTAACTTGTATCGTGGCAAGGCACACGTATAGGACGTGTAATCTGCTTTCCCGAGTCAATGATATACCAAGACCTATCAACATTGACGAAGTGATTAACGGCTAATTCCTATTGGTATACTTTAAATTACTTATACACATTCTTGTCATATACATGGTCTAAATGGTCTTGATGTCAGTTACAGATCCCAAAGATAAACGTTGTTGATGGGGATAGGAGTGAAGCTAGTAACACTATACCATAAACAAATTACTTGCATATTGTCTGTGGTTCTGGCACATTTTAAATCTATTAAAAGGGCATGACACGGTTTCATGCTCCATATATCCTAAGGATGCTTGCGGTTTGCTGTTGATACATTTACCTATGTAATATGTATATGTATCTGAAACATGTGGCGTGTGCTTTTCCACCTGAATAATACCATCGATATAGTTCACGGACCTCTGTGTGTGTGGTGTATTTCCAGATCCCTACCGCTATTGAGATAAACGCTCTGTATCAATGAAGCTTTATATACAAACAGCGAAGTGGATCTCGCTACAGATGGGTGAGTTTCTTCCCTAATTAACTGAGATAGTTGGTACCTCCTCCCCGCGTGATTCCGTTCAGGCTGGTACGTCGACACTCGTTAGTTTGATCGATGGATGGAAGGAACACTCACGCGAAGAGAGACTCCGCCTAGCATTCGGCCGTAGTTACGAATCTATACCTTTATGCATAAGGTGGTTTTATCTTCGAAACATTACGGCAGTGATGACAAATTTGAACAAAAATGATCTAATATACAAATATGACATGTAAGAAAAAATGGGAAGTTTGGAATTCACTACTAGTACTTCAGTAGAAAGTACTATATCGGTAAACCTTTCGTTGGGATTCCATGAAAATATTAGCAAAATGCATCAACCTGCAGTGCTACATCGGTACGAGGTTAATACGTCAGTATTTTCTACAAGCTTACCTAACGTATCAAGTGTAGTGGAATATGGAAATACTACCAATGTGACGGAGACCGAGTTTTCCATGGGTTTGTCGGAGGAGTCCCTGATAGTCCTTATGGTGCTGTATTCTTTAACTACCGTTCTGTCCATCGGGGGAAACTCCCTCGTGGTCCTAGTCTTCTTTAAGGGCCGAAGGTCCAGAACGGATCTAAGATTGTTTCTAATTAACCTAGCAGCTGCAGACCTTGTTATGGCCGTATTCTGCATGCCTTTCACGTTTGCGGACACCATTCTAGGACATTGGGTATTTACAAAACCGATGTGTCCAATCGTCCTGTTTATGCAGCTATTCTCTGTAGCGGCCAGCGTGTTCACCAACATGGCAATTGGGGTAGATCGCTTCATGGCCGTTAGCTTTCCCTTGAAATCCAGAATTACGTATAGACGAGGAAAGTATGTGATTGTGATAATATGGATGTCGTCCCTCCTTCTGTCTACCGTCATGTTGGCAGTGGGGAGGGGTATTGACGATGGGTCAGGCAATGTTAAGTGTATGGAGCTCTGGCCCGTACCCGATCAAAGGAAAACATTCACCATCTGCGTCCTCTTGTTTACATACATAATGCCACTTGCGATCCTATTAATAACATATTCAATAGTTGGAATTTTACTTTGGAAGAGAACAACACCAGGAAATAAACATGCGAACCGCGACATGCATCAACTCCGAACGAAAATAAAGGTGAGTGAACAACATTTCCAACATGAAAATTTAAGATGAATTCCGTTTCTTTTACATGAGTATTATTTGATATTGAAAAAATAGATGTATCAAACGCACTAATGTATTATACCATTTACACCGTACAAAATAATCTCATGTATTAATAGATCGTGCATGTGTTTAATTCTGCAAATTCTATGTATATTTATGAAAGTAAGGGTCTGTTTTTAGCAAAGATGTAACATAAAAAAAATCAGTGATAGATATATTTTACCCAACGAACATGATTAAATGCCTTTGATTAGAATTATGATATCAAATACAGACATATATTGGCAAAAAAGCCAGTTCGTCTATGACACTAAAGTGATAGTAAATGCTGCTCATTGTCCTACATGTACACCGTACGGGAGATTATGTCTGTTAATTGTACCTGGATATTAAGTCAGTATCGTTTTAGATCGTAATTTGATGACGTACTGTGTGTACATTTAATCAAACGATATGATAAAAGCATATTTCTGTAGGAGCAATGTTAACAGAGTTCATGGTTCCTTAATTAGTTCTGGCAGGAACCCTATCCTCTAAACCCTTGCCTCATGTATCCAAGGTCAGCGTAATTATGTGAGCTCTATGGAGTATTTGGACTGCATTGGTCAGTATTACTGTATTAGTTACAACTAATAGATCTGAAGTAATCGTATCACGTATTATTGGAGCAAAGATATTTTCTTTTGTCTTTTGTTTTTATTGTAATGCCCGACCTTCTTGCAGTAACAGGATTTATAGAAGAAGGTTATTATATACTCAAGGTGATGCCAGCTAAATAAATCACATTCTGTGATGCTCTTTGCATGAGTAATATTTTCATTTCAGAATGTCTTATTGTATATTGTGTCAATACAAAAGGAATTGGGCAACAGGCGAAGTCTATAAATGCCTTCTCCTAGAAATGGGTAATATATATTACCACTTGGCTATAGGTTCTATTAGTTCATTTTAATTATTCAAAATCTTTTGTAACTTCCGTCCATATATGATGATAAAAATAACGATTTGAATAATTTACATAATGTGTATTACATGTATATCCAAGGTCACTACTGCTTCAGTAATGGTTTTAATCCTATGGAGTTTCAGGACGTTACAGGGCACGGTGATTCATCTTAAGATGAGAAGAGTATTTGTATGGTAATTCTTATTATTCATGTGTAATTACATCTCTTGGTTGACAAGTGGAAATTTGGAACAAAATTGTTTAAACACAATAGCCTCTGTATAAAGGAACTGACAGCTATTTTCCAAATCGTGTATTTGATTAAGCAAATATAATTAAATCAGGTATGCAATTCCGATATATACTTACATCATATCTACTTATACTTATAGCCACCTGGAAGGTTAATATATCATTTGCTTCATTCCTTGACATATGATAGTACACTAACTACAAACACTAAACAAGCGAAAATATATCTTACACTGTTAAAGTCCTCGTATTAATATAATGTATACATTTACTGATTATGTACCGTGTTTATACACCATAAAACATACAAATCTAAATAGATACACGTGTTTTATGTTGTAAACTGACGCTAATAACGTACACGATATTATAATGGTTAAGAATATTAAGTTACCTTTCATGATCGTTGGCTATCCTTTTCCAAACGGCAACATACCAATGTTGCTTTACGGAGATCATACACTAGACTAGAGCCAGGTTTAATTATCATGATTTCATAGAAAGACGTGTTCTGATCAACAATTAACTACTGTTATTACTACCTGACAGGTTTCAGACTACATTAGGGAAACTTTACTACCGTCGTCATCATCTGATGTCCTAGAGATTACGGTGTCTACCATAATAAACACGGTTTACAATTTCTTACATCGTTGGTTACGTATTTCTTACCATTTCGGGGAAGAGTGTGGTGGCTGCAGTTGTTTACCTCTTTTTCTATACATAAAGCTTTTCGTTTTGCTTCGATGTACAACAATGCTCCTCTTGTTATATCGACACAGTTGTCACTTATTCTCGTTGGAAGACGAAAGGGCAGTTATTTGTTCATGTTAAAAAGACGAAATAGTAATTACCCTTTTAACGTAAGGAATACAATATGGCAACTACTTGTACACGTTAGGAAAACGAAATGGAGTCACTTGAACACATTAGGAAGTTGAATGGTCGTTAAATGTACACGTTAGAAAGCGACATGGCATTGCTTGAACACAAATAGTTTTTAAATAATCGAAATTTGTTTAAAGTGGCAAAACAGCCGAATTAATTAAAACAATTGGACAAACATGCATCTCATTACGGACATTTTCTATTTTTAAACAGTAAGTATGGCTGTTATATTCGGAAAGAATACTTGAAACAGTTTCACGCCCCAAAGTACATATTTGAATGATTTTTTTTATATATATTGAATTGAACCAAACACCAATTTGGACAGGCCACATTTCCAAAGCGATAGGCAAAGGTCATGATATCAGCTTGAGCACTGGTTTACAATCAGATTTTTTGTTTTATTCAATATAATCAGTGTGTTATGCACGTCCAATGTCATGCACATGCATACACATGGGGCTTTATCACTGTTTGATAAACATCGAATTTGGATCGTGGCATGTATGATGCATGAAGAAAGGATTTTCAACGGATGTGTGCGTGACTTCGATGGGGATTTGATGCAAAAACTTGTTTACATTGATATGAATTTTCGGACATAATTTTTGAAGAATCAATTTTAATGATTCCATGTCTAGACAAACTATGTTAACGCTGTATGGGAATGTGAACGGTTCAAATACTGATATACTGAAGAGAGGTTATTTAATAATGTCTTCAGCGATAGCAAATATACATTGAAGGAGTGTGACGTATATTTTGTCGTCTTTCACAAACGCATAAGTGAACACACCCTGGTTCAAGCTTGAATGCCAGGCTGGCAAGTCGCCTCACTGCTTTATTCATAGTAATTCGCACCAATTTATAGTTATACGTCCAAAATTAAACAAAAGTAGAAAACACTAGACCTTTTCTATTTTGTAATCAAGTTAATAACTATGCTACGTTTCATAAAAATATCACTATATAACCAGTTGTGAAAAGTCAAAGCCGCTTCGCTACGCTACGTTTACTTGTGAACTAAAAGATAGCAATGACGGCAGGAAAATACTAACACTACGTGCATATTACTAATCGAGCTCGAATCAATCTCTGATTATATATTTTTGGTTATTTGCCTTAATAGTTTGCTGGCTGCCATGGAAACTACAAATGTATTATATGTTAAATGTTGTGTATATACCAAGCAAAATACCCTACAATCCTCAATAAATAAACACAAATAACTGATCATTTCCGACAGTAAGTAGAGATGTATTAGAAAGTACCCTCTGTGGAACAACGCGGAATATAGGCGGCATTATTTTGCACTCTTATATGGTAGTACAGGGTAAGCGTCCTTGCTTTATTTCAATCAAATTTAGTTATTAAGTTTGTTTACTTCTGAACCAGTCCTCTTGGCTGGATTTGCTTTGCTTGTGTCTTTTTTTTCTTTTCTTTTTTCATTAGATTATATTCAGGAAAAAAATTGCTTCCACTAGCGAAATTAAAAAATATATAATTTTGATATCTCTCTGTAAAGAAAGGAATAAGAAAAAACAAATGTTCGCTCGTAAGATGTAATAACACAAACAGAATAATGTGCGTTATACTGGTTCTGAACTAGTGACATGTTCAGACTCATCGAACACCTAAAACAAGCGTCATATTGTCTATAAAAAGAAATATTGATTCCAAAGTAATGACAGCTTCGTAGGATTGCATTGTTTTTTATTAGAACATCTATAACAAGCGTCTAAATAAAGGATAACACACGTCATACGTAGGTTCGATGCTTATAATGAAACGGTACGTTGAGACATGAAAAATAGATTGTATACAAATGGCCAACAAATTATGGAGCCGATTTTGACAGCCTGATAAAATAGTGGGTCCAATGAGACGTGCTTCACTTAGTATTGGGAATACCGTAGAAGCTAACTGTATTTGTTGACGTGTTATAATATAATAAGAAAATCCGGAAGACGGTATCTTGTATCCGACACATCCTAATGATTTCACAGAAACTTATTTAGAGCACTTGTAAATTAGTCGGCAATATTTCATATACTGTATCTATATATTGATTGCACATGTCACTTCAGGGAGATGAGGGTTGTTTATAGATTAATAAGTTGTGTGGGCTATCGACTATATGCTGAATATAATGTACTCGCATTTAGGCAATCTAGGAGCTGCGAAATCAACCTCAGATTGTGAGAACATAGTCTTCGTTCTGTTACATTAACATGTACGTGGTCAATCTAGACATTGAACTTAAAAAAAAAAAAAAAAAGGTTATTTAGGAAATACTTTTGAGTATCGTTCTTGTCATGCTACATATAACAGTTATTGCTTTGTTTATTGACCACAAAACGTTCTTAAAAGTCGCTTGGCCATGATAGTTTCAACAAGTAACATGAGCAGTCGTTTACATAACACCTTCTATCTCATGACATATACATTTGTCATTCTTCCCCACAGGATGATTTTTCAATTTTAACATTTGTTTTGTTTGCATTTTTACCCCGAATACCAGAGGCTAAATATACTACCGCAACATGATTTCCCTGGTGTGAAAACTCGGGTCATATCATACACGCCACTTATCATGAAAAATCTGCTTATATCTGTTACACACGTTAACACATTCCAGGGTTTAAATTGTATATGCACATTTCACTTATCGATGGTATTGTCCCCGCTGATCCACAGCGGGACAAATCCCTAGGGATGTGTATGCGATAAGCGTATCGTGTTAATGCCTTTCCTAATTTGCATACACACTGTACTCTGATGTAAGGGTTAACCGAACCTTCGGCAGTTCTGCTGTCAGGAATCCACGCCATGGTAACCACATATAGTGAATATAGTATACGTAGAGTAAGGATCTATATTG